ATTGAACTCAGAGTTTTATACACACACACATACACCCATGTACATGTGCAAGAACATACACATACATTGGGAGTGAGGTGTTGAGGGGAGTTAGAGGGAGAATAAGACCAGGATATTTTGTGTAGACATGAAATAGTCAAAGAATAAAAATAATGGGCTTTATTATAATAAAAGCAACATAAAAATAAAAATCTACAGATATACTTGATATGTACATAAGTAGTGTTTACAAACTGCATATGTACATAAAGGTATATGCAGTGTTTATATTGATCTATTCATTCAAGTATGTTTGGTGTGCTAAAGGATAATTTTTAAAAATCTTTTCCTGAAATAAGCATGAAGATTTTACTATCCACAAGTAAAACACAAGTTTCTACCATAAATGCATCAACATTTAGTGTAATTATCTATTCAAAATATTAAAAACTTTTATAACTGATCCTCAAAACTTTGTGCGTGTATGTGTATGTGTGTTACACATGTGTGTTCATGTGTGCTCTTTGTGAGAGCATTTGCAGAGGTCAGAAGTCAACACTGAATGTCTTTCTCTGTTGTCAATGTTAATATCTGGGACATTGTCTCTTCGGCAAGACCTCTTATGAAAACATCAGTAACTTGGTAAGCAATTGAAAATTGCTTCAAATAGAAATTAAACATTTTAAAACTACAGAGCCTAAGCAAATTAACTCTATAAATTAGAACTACGAATAAAACAATAACCAATATGTACTTAGTCATAATGAGAAATCAAACTAAATAACAGTCAAAACAGATAGTCAAAGATTTTAATCAGCTATTTAAAATAGATGTTGTAAGTTCTATGACTTCATTTTTAATCTTTCTCAGTATGGTTTAACTCTTGAACTCATCAAAAATATAAAGCTGGATTTCTTTCTATAGGTTTTAAATTTCCATTGACAAAGTGAATTTAGTTCACTTACATTGTAGTTCTTGAAATGTGTGTATTTCTTTCTTCCCTCTTGCTTACTGTTAGTGTTACTATGGCCTTTTCTCTTCCTTTCCTATCATTAATACTTTTGCCTTGAGTTTATATATTCAATTCATATATTTGTAGACACTTTTACAATTATATCTGGATCACTTAGTCAATAAAATATAATATGAAAAATTACCATTTTCTCCCAGAATAATATATGGAATTTTAAAATACTACCCCAGTTTATAACTTCTTAGACTCTACATTAATATCATTTAGTTCTTCCTCAATTTCAGCTAACCCTCAATTATTCTTTATTTGATAGTATCAATTCTTAGTTTCCATTTTGTTGTTCACTCTGAATTTTATGAGAAACTATTGAAACCTTTGTCTCACAATCTCTTTCAATTTTGCTTTCTTGATTAATAAATGTCAGATTTCCTCATGTTAATTTTCAATTGCTCTATTCTTTTTCAGATAACATACTTTTATTTCATCTGTTTCTTTCAGCTCTATTTGATCTGAATCCCAGTTTCCTGATTTTTCTTCACCTTTATCTATAACTATATAACTATATAACTATATATATATGCATATATGTGTGTGTGTGTATTCTGGTTATTAATCTTGTATAGAGCTTTAAATTTCAAAAATCATGTTTAAATTTTCAACATTATATTTGATTCCCCCAAATGTATCCATCCTTGTAACAATATTCTATGCTTTTATTGTAAAATATAATTGACTTTATACTTTTACTTACTATTGTCCTGAGTCCCTGTGATTGGATGCTTCCTCCTTTGCTTTGTTTTAGGTTGTCCCTTATACTGGATTGTTCTCTTGGGAGATTTTAAATTATTATTGCATGCAATTTTCAGGAATGGGCTTATCTTCTCATACACCAATGCATTTATATTGCAGAAGGAATGTGTCCAGTGACTTACCCCCTGCTATGCTGCCTCAGAAGCTGATCCAAGTATGCTAATTACATATCTTTCTGGGTTTTTTGCTTCCTGTAGTATATCTTAAGCTCCATACCACAGCTGGGTATAGCATTGTGGTTTTACTACAGATTTTACTTAAATGAATACTTCATTTTCCTTTTCCGTACTATGATTTTCCTGTGGTTTCTTTAGAATGGTTGGCAAAACAGTTTTAATTGTTTTTCATTGTGGGTAGCAATGAATGAATTACAGCTTTATTTAGTTCTTTTTCCAAATCTCAGCCCAATTCTTTCACTAAACCTCTGACCCCATTGTAAATCCTGATTCCCACATACTCTTAAGACCCAAATCATGTCTACTTTGGCTCTTGGCCACTCTGGTGTCTCCCACACAGTTCCCTTTCCCTTTGTCTTGCAACTACCTTCCTGGTACTTGTAGATTTCCTCTCTCTCTCTCTCTCTCTCTCTCTCTCTCTCTCTCTCTCTATGTGCATGATTAGTGGTATTCAAGTCTGTAACATTTTATCTAATGTGTCTACATGTTTTGAATCAAGTTTCTTGTATTGTTAGGCAGTAAAGGAATAAATGTATCATAATTTGGTTCTTTTGAGGAAAATGATGACTAAATATTGACAATAGCATTTCTATTCATTTCCCCTTTCATATATCTTAAATGTCAATTTAGCTTTTTGAAAAATAATATACTATGGTATCTAGGGAACTTGTGAACCTTACTCAGATCTGTCAGGAACTTGGAGCTTCTTTTACCCAGCAGTATACCAATATTCATAACAGAATTTATTATATATAATTTTGAGTAGAATTATTCATTTCATACTTGGTCTGATATTGAGTACTCCAGCTTCTGTTTCAAGATAGGAATTAATCCAAAGCGTTGACAATTGTAACTCTGTGGCTTCCTGTTCCGGTCCATTCCTTTGTCTTAACATGGACATTGTTTGTCTTCCAAGCTTTGTAGTTTTGTTGTTAAAATGGCTTTAGTTTTCCAACCAAAGGTAATATTACATTTTTGTAAAACTTTGGCAGCAATAGTTCTCCAAAAATCCCAAGCTTAGTGGGAAACAGAGGCTAGAAGCTCTCACAGTAAAACACTGTAATTATACAGCAAAGCAATCTCTGCCGTTGTTTTATCACCTAGGAAATCGATAATGGCATAGACTACAATTCTCTGCTGGGCTAGAGTAGATCTAGGGGGACAGATGAGAGACTTTATTGACATAGTAGGAACTGCTGGCATAAGAAATCACAGCAGCAGGAAAAGATGGATTTTTTACCTAAGTGACTTCAATCCAAACTCCAAATATTTTTGTCCAATAAGAGACTTGATTTTTTTAAAGCAAGAAAAACACATAAATTAACAACCTCCCCCCCAAAACACCATCTGTGCCCAAGACTGTCCTTCCTAGTTATATAGTTATAAGCACACTGGCAGCCATTATTGTTGGTAAATATTTATTCATGAGGAAAAATTCCATTATGGTTGTGAGAAATGTGTTAGATACTGAGGAATTCCTGGTCACGAGGTTTTACTTTGAATGTCTTGTGTTAGACAAACATCTTAGTTTAGAAAGTATTTTGTAGAAGAAAGGTTCAATGTCCCAGCATGTAGTAGCATATTCATTGTAAACTATCTTGCCCAGAATTTTAAATGCATGGAATAGAAGCAGAAGGTACTGTACTTATCAATGTTGAGTTATTGTATTGAGAAAGGATGAAAGTATTAAAGAAAAAAATCTCCAATCTAAATATTTGTACTTTTCAATTACATCAATCAGCTTATTTCATACAAAAGAAGAATGTGAAATAATAAAAGGTGCCATATTCATGTTTTTATTTTTGGTCCTTAATTAAAACCTATGCGTAGGCCTGGGGATGAAAGCTATATCTTTATATAGACAATTAATAAACAGCCGTCTTCCCTTTATTTTCATGTTTCTAGCAAGAAGAGTGAAGTAAGTGGTATCTATCCCTAATCATCAGAAGCATAGGAATACGTCAATATTTATGGAACACAATTGAGAGGCTCCTGGATTGTCATTCAACATGAGCAACATTATTATGTATTTGTATTTTAAGTAAGTTTCCTTTTGAAACGTCTTTGTGTATATAGACTCTGAAAAGTAAACAAAGTTGGGCTTGTGTGGTGAAAACAATGAACTTGTTCTTAAATAACAAACACAATCTCTCCTCTGTGAATACATCTCATTATGTATGCAACATGCATGAGGAATGTCAACATTTGGCCCCCATTAGTTCAGATTCACCATGGCACATTGTTTAATCCATTTGCCTGAAAAAAAAAAAAAAACTATGCACTTTATTTTATTGTCAGGAAAAGAGATAATAAATTCGGAACATCTAAGAGCTCTTCAACAAATGGTTAGGAGTTTGCAAGTGTTAGTTGCAAGCTATCATTTCACTGACAAAATTCTATGCATAAGGCATGAAAATTAGAATATAGCTCTTTGCATCTACCATTTCACCTGAGCCAACTTCCATGCTCATTAAAAATTGTTTTTCTCTTAGAGTAAGCTAAAATTGTAGCCATGATGTAATTTCTAACACAAACCTAGCACTTTTAAGAGGTTGGGAAGTTGTTCTTACTAAAGATTCATTGTACATTCATAAAACTACCTGCAGAAACATTTATTGATATTTTATATTTCAAGAAGGTTGTTTCAGTGCCAAGCATGAATTACAAATAAATAGCTCACTTGTTGGAAGACATGCTTTGATTCTATGGGGAGTTTAAGGTACCCTCATGCACAAGGTAATACAACTGAGTTAACAGTTGTCTAGCTAGAATGACAGCCCCTCCAAAGGAAATTGCTGAATCTTTTGTTCATTTGTTTGTTTTGTTTTTTTCTCGAGTGAAAGCAATACTATGCAAAACATTTGTTAACCAGACAATTATTATCCATTGTGGTTCCTGAGAGATTAGCGTTTCCCAATTATGAATGAAAGCTGGGATAGACCCGTATCATCCCATTCCTTCTGTTTTTCAGTGTCCCCAATTACTAATATTCTTTCGGGATAGCCAAACGGCTTGGTCTTGGGCCCCTCAGCGCCTGCCTGCGTTTCTTCACTTTGACTTACCTTGCATGCACAGTCCATCAGTGCAGTTCTTGGATTGCAGGACCAGGCCATCGCAGTCTTTGCCCCCATTCTTGGGTGCTGGTGCCGTGCACTCCCTCCTGCGCCAGTGGGTGCATTCTGTCCCACAGGGTGACCATTTGCTCCATGACGTCCACCTGCCATCCACTGCCACGAGAAAAGCCAGCATGAGGTCAGAACAAGCAGTTCCTTAAAGCGTAAAAGAAGCACAGCTCAACTCCAACACTGCAGTGAGAATGGAAGAAGCCACCCCAGTGAGAAGCCTGGCATTCACTGAAGCCTCTGCTGAGTGAGTCATGCTTTGCCTGTGGGAGGTCTGAGCATTTTGTTCCCTCTGATGGGTCAAGGAAGGCTTAGTGGGACACATCAGGAGCTATGTGAGCAAGTCATCACACTTCCTCTTTATTCATTAAAGGTGAGGCTTCTGGACATTGTATTGAAGATTAGAGGGTTTCCTTTTGGATCTAAGATTCCTTCATTTGTAGTGCGTGTAAACAATGAAAGCAAAAATGTATGAGAGTTGGAAGCAAAGAATGGGTAGGATGAAGGAACTCATCAGTTTTCTTTTCCCCTCCCCTGTCTCTTGACTTCTATATTCTTTATATTTTCTTTATGTCATCCAGGACAC